CACCCCCCCCCACACCCACACACCCCCACACAACCCCCCACACCCACCCACACACCCACCCACTCACACACACCCACACACACACACACACACCTACACCCACACCCACACACACCCCCCCACACACACACACCCCCACACACACCCACCCACCCACACACACCCACCCACACATACACACACACACACACCCACACACACCCACACACACCCACACACACATACACATACACACACACCCACACACACACACACCAGCAACAACAACAAAAAACCCCAAACCAAACACAGCCCCCCCAACCTGTACTAGTCTTTTATTTGCTACTAAATGCTTACACGGAAAAAGCAGCCCTGTGACCTGTAGATATGCAGTGAAAAAGAGGAAACTATACGTGTGACACTGAAGGCTATTTACATCAATGGCTTTTGTGGTCTCACAGTCAGCGTTTTACAAATTTGTTTCAGTTTCTCTCTCTCTCTTTTTTTTTTTTTTTTTTTTTCCCCCCAATTAGCCTTCAACAGTCTCAGCTATTGCAGAAATCCACCCCCTCAACCTCCTAAGGCAGTTTCAGGGTATTAGAATTTAAATGTTGTGTTCATTTATTTCATGCAGCACTATCTCCATGTTCCTCCCACATGCCAGGTAGAAAGGTCAGCTCTTGCCAGTTTTGTGCGTTGTGTTTTTTGCTTCTGTGGCAGGTACTGTGAGTGGGCTGTCAAGCAGAAAGAAGAAAGCACTTCCAGAAAACGTCAGCATTTTAACTCCTAGGCGAATCTTAACCTTTTCATGAAATATGCAAAGACAAAATAAGTGGGTGAACTTAACACTGAAACGTATGTTTGAAGTTGTTGTGCTGGTGTACTGCTCGTGCTGTTGACCAGGTTATCCCACTACACTCCACAAGTTAATGTGAGTACATCTTTTGGCTTCTAATACTTGATGTTTTGTTGTTGGGTTGGGTTTTTTTTCTGTATTCTTGAATGACTTCTACTATTCTGACTTCCTGCATATACAGTGGCAAGGCAAGAGGTCTTCACTGTGCTCAAATCTTGGGGAGAAAATTACCTGTTCTTACCAGAGGAGGGTAGGCAATGCTCTTCCCATTATTCCTGCTTAGGAGCTTTGCTGACCTGAGAAAGTTGTGTAGAAATCTCCAGTCACTACTAGCCCCTGTGGGCACCACACTGTAGGGACCCTGAGTTTTTGTAGATGCGTGACCTCCTGCTAGTGGTGTTCCAAGGACTGTTGTTCCCATATAGTTTTGATCAGATGACCTGTTTCTTAAAACGCTGTGGCATTTTATGTGCTAATTTCCCAGCATGTCTGTTTCTGGTTACACCGTTGGCAATAGAGAATTTTCCCTAGTGGGGAATTCTTCAGTAATGAGGAAGTTCTCTGAAAGAAGTAGGTGGAATTACATAAAGCTTTTAAGATCTGTCACAAGAAGTGTTTGGGGAAATAGTTTTGTTTAACACAGCAGAGATACCGAAGAGCATTTTGCACAGTGAATATCCTTTAGATTTTAAAAACTGTGTTTTCCATAGATGTCAGAAGCCAGCAGATGGAGAGAAGGGGCATTGTGGTAGGTTCTGTAAGAAAAATAGTGAGAAGATTGCAGTTGTGTTAAAGATCTTAGGTTGGCGCCTAGGTCTTGAACTGCTTAAACCAATCCAGCCAGGGGATCCTTCTAGTCAGGGTGAAACCGGAGAAGGGTCTGTAACAATTACTGCAGCAGGCTGTTTCATGCACATCTGGATTTGACTTGGACCTACCTTTTTTCTCTCTGAAAGTGAGTGCAGCAGCAGACTTTCTCAGTCTTGAGGAATTCTGTAAGTAATAGCCATACTTTTTTTTTTTGTGTATAGTAAGGTTTCTTTTCCTCTACAGTGGGACAAAGCATGCAAGTGAAAATTCAGCAATTGCAGGATACAGTCACTAAACTGTACTTGTTGTCATCTTTCTTGTGGCAGTTAATTGAAACACCTCTCCTGGAGTTCATTCTGACATTGAGATTTCGTTACCAAAAAAGTGGGTATGGGTTGCATGCATGGGTATAGGTATCTTTCCTATGACTGTAGTGCATATCCTATTTGTTCTGTGCAGTTCCTCAACTACAGACTCTTCATTTTAAAAAGCAGCAAGTATTTTGGGAGCCGAGTGTGCTACTGCTGTGGTCATTCTGGCATGGGAAGCACAGAGACACCTATACCCCTCAGTCTCAGCGGCTTGCTGTTCTGCAGGCTTGCCTCTAGATGAAGGGTGATCGGAACACACTTGTGAGATCCACATGCCTCTGTCTTGTTTGAGAAGCTTTACCTTAGGCAGTGCTCTGGGCTGCTTGTTCTCCTAATGGAGAAACTCTCATGCATGCATGTCACCAGAAACTCTTAGGTAGACTTAGGATTATTTTTGTTACTGTTTTACAAAGGCACTGTTGTGAAATATTCATTAAGTGATTAATTGCCACATGAATTCTCTTCACAATATATGTAACTTCACCAGCACTGTAATGAGTCCTGTAGGACCAGGTGTTACAAAACAGGGTATTTTCATACTATGTTAAAGTAAGGCAAACAAGTAGGGAAAAACTAAATTTTGTTTTGTCCATTGAACACATATGGAATGTTCCTCCATTCTCCTCCTGGTTGGAGCAATACTCCCTGCTACAGTTCAGGGAACAATCAATATTTGTTTACTAACTGACAGATGTATTTTGCCATAACCAAGGGCAAATATCTAAAGCAAATGAAATTAGATGTTCATCCTGTATCCATGCAGGAAGCTTTCTGTCTGATTATCTGCCATAGGTTAAAGGTGCAATTTTGTCATGTTTTCAGTTAGAGTGGAACTCAGTGCCTTCTGTCCAGTCCACTGTGTGCAGTGACAACAAAGTGTATTTTAGACTGCAAGTTAGAAAATGAGCAGAGATTTATATCTTTCTATTATCATTTTAGGTTCTTCATAATGGAAAAGCCTTTGATTTTCTGTCTGTTTTTATTCTACTGGCACTTCTTATATGGTAAGAGGCTGAGTTGTAAGAAGTATGTTTCCTTCCCATTTATCAGCACAGAAATGTTAATTTCTCAGTTTTCCTTCAAGTGGTAGTGTTTGGGGTTTTTTTCCTTAGTGTTTTAAATAAAGAGATCTTAGCATGTTGTTGCATTAAACACTAGACTAGATATGTGTCCTTGATGTGTGTGCTTTGACATGGTCATGTTGAAATCCCTGTTGGCAGGACATACATGGGCACCATTTCAGACAAGTACCTTGTACATTACACAGAAAGTTTTATTGGCACTGTCAAACCTGGGAATTCTGATGTGTGTAAAACCAATTGATATGTATATAAACTGAACATTCCCATCGAGGCACTAGCATATGCCTGTTACAGTGGCAGTGATCTGAAAGCAACAGCTGAGGGGCTGTGCACACACATTCATACATTTTAAGTACAGCCTCACACTGAGCATATGCTCAAAGCAGGTGTCTGCAGGGATAAATAGCCCAGTTTGCCCCAAACCTGGGCAAGTGAATCCAAAAACTTTACTAAAGAGGGCACATACTTTTGTTCCATAAAACATCCTATGCATATGGTAAGACATTACTGCAAATATTAGGCTTTTAGTCAGAAAATTAAGCTTTCTTCCAAATTTTGTTTTTCAGCTTTGTTCACAGTTGAAGCTCCCCAGTCACTCTACACTGTGGAACATGGGAACAACGTGACCATGGAATGCACATTTCCAGTGCATGGGAAATTAGAGTTTAGAGATTTAAGTGTCATCTGGGAAAAGAAAGATAAATTAAAGAAGCAGGTTTATGCACTTCTCCGAGGAGAGGAAGACTTAAAAAATCAGGACAGTGACTTTGAGGGAAGAATAAAATTGTTTAAAGAGAATCTGAGCTTGGGACAGTCCCTCCTTCAGATCACTGACGTGAAGCTCAGAGATGCAGGGCTTTACCACTGTCTTATTGGCTATGGGGGAGCCGACTACAAGGCAATCAATCTGCAAGTGAAGGGTGAGTGTGCTAATGCAGGAGCTCCAGTGCTATCTGATACTGTTAAAAGACTTCAGAGGAGTCCCTGAAGTAAAACATATCTGGGTCAGCGTTTAAAGAAACCTCTGCAGTGACATAAGCCACCTAAAGGCCTTTGCACAGCTGTTAACTTTGTGTTTCTATCTAGGTTGAATCTGTGTTCTGGTCTTTATTTCCTATAATGATGTATGAGGAATGGTATTGCAAAAGCCATTTTGTCAGACCAGAAAGCTAATGTAATTTGCTAAAACTGCATCAAAACTGTAATAGATCCCATATCTGCAGCTACTCTGGAGAAACACAATAGTTGTATTTACTTTTCCTGTCAAGAGTATTATTTACAAAATCCAAGCTGATGTACAGAAATTTGGCCCAGGGGCTAGGGCTAAAGAAAAGGGGGAAAAGAAAAGGTATCTTGTCAATATATGCTGTTCTTCTGCCTTCCTACTAGTAATTATTTTCTTCCATTTGTTCAGCTCCTTATAGAACTATTACCCAAGGAGTGGTGAGCACAGGGGACAACGAATGGAAGTTGACATGTCGGTCAGAAGGATACCCACAAGCTGAAGTGCTGTGGAAAAACAGAGAATATGAGGATTTGACTCATAGAGCAAACACAAGTTATGAAACTGGAAATGACCAGCTGTATCGTGTGACAAGTACCCTTACAATCAAAAGTAGGACTGATGAGATTTTTTTCTGTATTTTCTGGAATAAAGAGCTTCAAGAAAACACATCTGCCATTTTACACATACCAGGTAACACTTCTAAATTGAATTTATAGACTTCCAGGTACTATGTAATTTTTTTCCTAGTTGAATCAACCATGATTCATTTCTCTTTCTTATCTGATTTTGAAAAGGCTAACAAGAAATACCTGTGTTGTTCAGTTTTGCTATTAGTGTACATTTCCACTATGCTAACATGTTCATCGTGTGTGTGTGGGTGGGATTTGAGGACAGGAATTTTGTGTGAGCTACAGATATGTGAAAATTGAATCTGAGTGTTAAAAGACATTCCATTATTTAAAAAGCATATAGCTCAGAGCCTAGAAATTAAACCACCCATATAAATTAGACTTCCAAAAATGTTCTGTTTTGCTTACAATAACTGTCAAATACATTTAAACAATATGGTCTTTTCCTGCCACTACAACCTTTGCTTTGAACATATTTAAATTTCACAAATTGTACACTTTTTTTTTGTCTTCTTGTAAAGTCTGGGTGGAAGGAAGGTGAATTAATGGAGAAGACCAATACAGTTTCTCATTAGAGCTTTCAACTGGTCACCATCCCTACTGCTGTTACCCTTTTAATTTCTGCATCTTACCCTGATACATTGGCACAAGCTTTCAAGTAGACTTGAGACCTGATCTAGCTTAAAAATAGTACTTCTGTTTAACAAACCATTACTTGGTCAAGTAATTTCCCTGGTCCTGTTCATCACACATTTTTAAAACTGCCTGTGCTGGCACACTTTCTGAGACTGACAAGGGGCAGGAAAAGGCAGCTGAGAGTGAGAAAGTCAAATAATCTTTTCATCAAGTGGTGAGTGGGCAAGTTTGATTTTAACAGGAAATGTCTCTAGGATTCGAGGAGGCCACTTAACCTTTGTATTCAGAGCTATACCAGATGGAAGAGACTCTGTTTTCCTCCTCAATCAGCTCTTTCTTGTAGTCTGGAGGGGAAACTAAGGTAGATGTAACACTTTGTACCTTGGTGACAAGCAGGACTTTTGACAGGTTACAACACAGAATGCAGGAAGCAAAGATAAATAGGAGTGTGTTCTATCTTTTTTTTCCCTTTATCGGAACGACGAGAGATGGTGAAGTGCACCACCTGACCTTAGACACAATCTAAAATGCTGTTACTGCATCTGGACTGTTCATGGCAAAAATAACACCGTGAAAATGAAATGAAAAAGGAGACTCTTACGCAATTGTGAAAATCTTTCTCCTTTTTGTTTTTCTTTAAGATTCAGTTGATGGTGTTCTAAGGACAGAGAGCAGACGCTTTATTGGAGCAATTCTCATTGTGACTGCTTTACTGGGATCAGTATTTATGCTATTTATGCTCTGCATAAGGAAAGGTATTAAGTTTATTTATTTTATCATGTCTCAGTTATTATCAATCTGTTTTTTAGTTCATCCTCACAGAGGTAGAATGAGGTAATAAAAGTCTGCCATAGATCTTTGATTCTGAACCTCCTAAATTTTTTATGATATTGTTTATTTCTTTTTCTATATCTGACTTAGTCAAATGCTAGCAAGTTAGCAGGTTGTCAGCCCTTCACAGATCACTTACCCAAGCATGTCTATTGATTTTTCTCATAGATAATGCTGTAGAGCAGTAAGGTTGGTGTCTAATCTATTCAAACACCAAAGAACAGCTTAGGCACCCACTGGAAATGGAAGTTTCCTATTCTGTGCCCTCTCTTTTGATTGGTGACCAGAATGTTGGAGCAGACAGGGCACTGGTTGTTTTTTAGGATTTTTTTCCTGCATTCTCTGAACAATGTTTTTTTAAATAATCTAATTTTTATAAAGTCTAGATATAACTTTTATTAAGTCTAAACATATATTTATTCTGGCTAAAACACCATGAAAAGGGTGGACTTGCATATTAAGTGATATGTCCAAGGCAGAGTCTGAAATATTTTTTTTCACGAGAGGCAATATTCCCACTGTGCCTTCATATGACTTATTGATTAATTTCCTTGCAAAGTTTTGATCTTTTTCAGTTGACTCCACTGAATTGAATTGGACATTTTTGGCATCACAGAATGTTAAAGAGTGAAAGCATTAACAGTAATTTGTTTTCACTTGATAGCAAAACAAGGAAAAATCCCGGAGAAATAATTTGTAGGGTATACGAGCTTGAAATGAGTATTCTTTTGCCCCTAAATTAAAGAAAAAAGGTTTGAAAACTGTTGCTTAGCCTTAAAATAAGTACTGTTATTGTTCTGGTATGTTTTTTATTCCTTTGGTTGATTATGGGTTGTTTAACTTGGTGGGAAGTTAGGTGTGTTTGAGGATTTTATATTCAGGGGTATTTTTTAGCCTTCATTTTAATAAATACAGTGAAGTCATGCAGACCTCAGAACATTCATAGGACTCATTTGGAAACATCAAAAGGAAAGCATTTTTGCTGAACATTCTGGTTTTGGCCAGAAGTCTTCCTCTGTATAACGTATTTGTGGATTTCTCTAGCTGATGTGTAGCTACTTCTTTTTTTCCAAATAACTTGTTGAATTTTTTTTGTCAAGTTGTCTGCAGTGAAGGAGTAGAAGAGGCACTGAGACTGATACAAGTACTCTTAGCATTATAATGTCACGTTGGCATGACTTGATATAAATTATTATGAAATTGCTCCAAATGATATTTGACTAACATTTTTTTTAATTTTGCAGGAGATGTAGATGTGTACAGGTAGCATGAATCTCATCTGGAACTAATGCAAAGGCTAGCTGTACTGTCTTTTCAAGTGGCATCTCAAAAGCATCCACACTAAGAGGTGTACTTTCAGAGGCAGCATAGCAAAACTGTCTGACAGCTCTCTCATCCACAGTGAAAACAGAAACAGCCCTAATTTCTGTCTGGAAATCACACAAAGCCGTTTATAAGCAAACTCTATACGGGGATTTCATACTTGAGTTCCATTAATTAAATACAAAATAGAACTAAATATAAATATTCAGTGTTCTGGTCACAAACTCATCTCCTGCATCCATGCTATGGAAATTTATCCTGGGAGAAGTGTTCATAAGCTTAACAGGCTTGCAGGTGGTAATAAAGACTGCAGAAGGGCTGTAGTCATCCCTGCATGAATAAGAGTATACTGATATTAAGAATATGATAGGAAATAGGAGCAGAACATAAAAGTGGAAGACAGCAAAATCCTTGACTTTTCAGAAGATTTCCATGTGGGGATTTCAGTAAAGGTCAGAAGTTTCCCAAGTTGCTTGAGTAATATTTATTGTTTGTGTGCAGACATGACAATGTTTATAGATGTCATGACCTGTGTGATTATCATTATTTTGTTATATATATGTATGTGTGTCATAAACTGCTAGTTGATTCAGAAGCTAAAATAGTAGCAACAGGTTATTCTTCCAAAAACTAAGCTGTCCTAGATGACCAGTTAAGTGGTTCTTTCAGAAGGGAATCTCCTTGGAATACAGGCATTTTTCCTTTCAGAAGGAACTGAGAAGGTGATACCCTTCTTGTTTCCTCTTGCCAAATATATTCAGACTCTGTGTGGAAAACCATTTGAACAAGTATTTTTCAGTGATGTTAGTATATAGTATCAATGGACTTCTGGCTTTGGAACAACAATAGAAGATTGGAAAGGAAACTCATAGACTAGGGGCGCTGAAGAATATATTTTAAAGTCTTTGAAGAACTGGAGTGTTTTAAGAATCAGTGATTACACTACGTTAAGTATGCACTTCCCACTATTATGCCTACGTCACCCCCAGATCTAAAGCAAATATTCTGTTTTAAATTTTTTCTCTTTCTTTCTTTCAGCTATAGCAAATAAGGACAACAGAACATCTGTGGATAGTTCATCAATAGCAAGTATGTACATTTGGCATGAGATACATGCAGCTCAGTGTGATTCTTGTGGAAATAATGGCTCGAGAATTTATTTTGTAATACTGATAGCCATGTACACATTTACATTCAATGTTCATTTCGCTTCCTACTTTTCATTGTTTAACAACTACAAACAGCAATTGAGACTTTTCATTACTATGTCAACTTCCTGAAACATGAAAGAAAATATACTTGTTCCAAGAGCAGGCGCAGTCCTTATTTATATATACAAGAGAAGGACAGAGTGGTGTCCTGTGTTTTGGAAAGTTGGTGACAGGAGGGGACATGCTCCCTGCAATATATACCTCAGAATGGCAACACATCCTGGTGTGCAGACGTTATGCTGCAGTTTGAGTTGTGTTGCTGTGATCCTGTGTTTTCTCCAGTATTATAGCGTGTATTTCAAGGTCTCTGTCACAACATTGAGGAAAGAGGGTTTGGCCCCATTGAGAGAACCACAGGAAGAAGGTTTAACCTCCTAGCAGTTTGTTTTCCCTCCTGTTGAGAAACTGATGCTATTTTCTACCAGCAAAGCTCAGTGAATGGCCACTACCATGGTGACAGTGAGAAATGGAGGGAAGAGTCTTAAGAGTTAATATTTACAGTGGAATAGAAGGGATTAAAGTCCTTTAGCTTCCACTCATGATGGCTAATGGTTGAGGTTTTTTAAATTTGTTGTATTGTTTTATTTGGAGACCACTTCAAATTAAACAGCTGTGTGATAATTAGTTCATACTGGCAGCTGGGGCTTTTCCTGGGAAAACCTCTCTTCGGAATACTTGCCCAAAATGGACACAGTATTTGTTATTAATCTCTTATTTCGAACTCTATTTAAGTCACATAGTTCCTGGAAGGCCTGAGATAGCAGCTTCTAATGAAGATTTATCACGATACGAAAAATGTAAGCTATGATGACTGTTATCTGTATATTGTTTGTTTAAAGAGCTGCCAAAAGATAAAGATACACGTGACTGCAGATATGCTTCTTTTGAAGAGGAAGAGCTGAAATGTAAGTAGAAATAACAAAGAGAAAAACAGTAGCAAATTGCTACATGGCAGAAATAATCCATGGCCATCAGAACCTTTATTTATGACTGGTTAGTTCCTTGTTTCAATAGACAGAGCCTTAAAGAAAAGTAGAGCCTCTTGTTCTGTGTCATACAAACTTACCAGCATAACTTACTGAGTACTGGGAGGTATACATATATATATATAAAATCTGATTTTAAAAATGAAAAGCCATTCAAAGAAAAGTGTGAGATAGAGGTAATGTAACAACCCAAATGAGTCTTTTATCTAGCTCCCATTTTGCTACAGAAAGAGTTGTGCCAGCACAACTGAAGGAGTGGTGATGGGAATGAAGACGGAGTCCTTAACCATCGTAGTCACTCAAGAAGGGCTCAAGCTGTGAGATTCTGTCACAGCAAAGCAAGAAAAAAATAAGCAAATATCTAAAATCTCCAAAACACATTGTTATTGAGGTTTTTCTTGCATATTCTTGCTGACTCCTAAAATACTTACATTAATTACATACCAAATCCCTCCCTGCTACATTGTACTGTAATAAACAAATGCAAACCTGCTGCCCCTGCAGGTGCAGATCTCCAAATCAAATAGTTAGAGCCCGGGAATAATTCTGCTGGAGATACCAACAGATAGAGCACTGAATGCATTTGAGAGACTTTAAGAGAAGATTTTAAAAGAATGGGGGACCTAAGGCACAAAAATTTCACTGTATTTGCTAAAGAGCACTTCCCACCAGTGTGTTTGAGCTACCACTTTATTTCATCTCACAATCACAACCTTTTTCTACTTGACCTTTTAATTAATAAAGTTTTACATCCTTAATTTGGATAATGAAGGACATTTTTTTGGCACCTCTAAACTCCAGGAAAGAGTCCCAAATTCATGAAATGTTCTGTGAATTCATGATTTTGTAGCTTGCAAATTTTCTTCATATAATTTTTCCTTTACAGCTATGCAAGTTGAGAAGACCTAGAGAAAACAGAAGCCTTTTTGCTCTGTGGTGAAGGTCTGACAGCTCAGATGTTCCGAGTTCTGTCTTTTAGGGGGATATTAATTTTTTATTTTTATTCTGTGAAGGCAAACTTATTCCATATTGATGTAATCAGGGCAAACTTGAATTAAATTACTAGAATGACAGCATAAAAAGCCCTTAGATTCAGGCTTCTTTTTATGTGACTAGGTAGGGAGGCATTTATTTAAGTATCCAGGTTTCTGTTTTCTCAAGTTTATGCACTTTCAAAGACACATTTAATTTAAAATATCTTTAAAGCAAAGCACTTTAGGTCTATGACCACTGCTAGTTCTTCAATAGACCATCTTCATGGTTTTGGTTTTCTTTTTTCCCACCTGAGCTTCCAGATCCCTGGAGAGATTTTGTTTTACAACTTGTGAAGAAAAAGATAAGGATGCAACAAGGCAAGATGCCATACAGATGCAGCATTGTCTGTCCTTTCTTAAAATAGCAGATATTCATAGCTAAACCTGAAATAGATGCTGTAACCATTTTGGGAGCTATGGTTTGGGAATTACTAGGTAATACTGAGCTTCTTCATCTCTTCCTGAAAAGTGATTGGGGATTTAATTAACATAGCTGGCACTACTTGGTTACTACTCATTACTCTTCTGCTTTACCTTTTGGGGATAACACAACTCTTCAGACAGGCAGGAAGAACTCTTGATTTGGACTGCCTTTTTTCCTCATGTTGGGAACAGACGAAAGAGAAGCTTCTTGCTTCTAGCACATGAAATACATCCTCATGTGATTACTTAGGAAGTGCTGAAAGAACATACTCCTGGATCTTGCTTCTCAAGCTATTGCTTTGTTAGATTCTGCTAGGTGCATAGCTTTTTTTGGGTCGTTCTGAGAGTAAAATTATTTATTACAATGCTATTCACAATTATATTTTTTTAATAAAATATATTTTGTTTGTCTTGTGTTTTTCCTGCTCTCTTTGACTTGCAAATAAGTAGTGTTAGCACTACTTGTGCTTTTTTCTGGGAAAATCAGTTATCTAAGATTTGGGTGTAGAATAGTGTCTACACCCATGTAATTTCTCTAATGGCTCCCACAAAGAAGAGATAGTAGAGGTCTGGAATCTCGCTGGACATCGGTGTTGCTTTTAAGTTTAACATAAAAGAGTCTCTTGTGCAATTTTAAGGATTTGGATGCAGGCCTTGGCCCAGGGCTTCACTGCTGGCAGTATTGCATCTAGCGAATGTTAACTTGTGTTTAATACATCCCAACAAGCCACCCTATGTAGTAGGATAGAGAAGTGCATCTCATAACCATAATGGAGCTGGTAGATCTAAGTAAAATAGTCACAATAAAGTGATTTTCAACTTCACTGAAGAGCTTTCATATTCTGATACTGATTCGTGCTGTTTGATTCACCAAAGATGCTACGTAAACTTGAACATCCCTTCCTGCTTCCCAACACTCTTTGCAGCCACAGTCCAGGTGACACTGAAGATCATGGTGAATTTATATTTATTCTTGGAGTGCAAGAATGGCTTAGAAATACTAAGGGCCACTTACAGAAAGAACACTGACCCTCCTCAACACATAAATGTAGTTTCTTATCAGCACATAAGTTGCCTTCTAGACAACCTCTTCATTTTCTGCTTCCTCTTTGAGACTGAAACAGATGTTGCCATGTTGTAAAAGTTAAAGTTTACTCCTTTTAGTTTTTATCAGCCTTTGCAAGGCAGTGCTATTAGTACATGCTTAGTATCACTTAACAGGAGTTGATGCCTTTATCAGACTCCACTGGGCTGCAAGACCTGTTAGATTTCTCTGTTCCTAGCAGGAGAATAGGTAAGTTACTGTTGACAGGGCTGTGCATCAGATGAGTAAGATAATTAAATGAGAGGATACAATTATATTTTGAATTTAGTATCTGAACCTTGCTATCCAAAATGTGAGTGTTTGAATCCCTGAGTTGTTGATAGGAAGCTTAACATTTAGCTACTTTATTAGAAAAGCAGGGTGTGGAGCAGCATTTTTATAAATTTTCCAATGCCATGAGTGGTTTCAGCACAATTACTTCCCAGTCATGACAGAGGGAGAATGCACACCTAACAAAAAAAACAAAACACTTTTAGGTTATGAGAACTAGGTCAGAGAAAATTCTTCCTGATGCTAATACAAAAAACGTAGTTAAACACTGTATTTCTAACAACATTTTTTTCCTTCTGTTAGCCATTTTTGCATGCAACTTTGGTTCTTTTGGGTATCTGGAAAAACAAAATCCAGCAGGAAGCTAGAGCAATAAGCTCATTTTTCTTCCTAGTGGCCAGGCATTTTTATATGGCCAGAAGCACTCAGAAAAGTGTGGTCCATGTACAGAGCATATATTTGCTTATTGGCATTTGTGTTCAGGACTGAGTAATTTAAAAAAATGTCATTATGAGCCAGTCTCATGGCCTGATTTGTGATGTGACATTTAATTCTGTAGAATATGAATACTCCTACTAATAACAATTACAATTAAGAATAATAAAAGAAAAAGAGAATTCCTGCTAATGCCCTGGAGGGCATTTAGTGGATCAGCATGCAAGATGTATGTCCCTGTTCCTTTCTGGCCAAAAATTTAACTTTAATACCTTTGAATGACATGTACCGATGGTGCATCATCCAAGCATGTGATAACCAGCCAAAGGGCAGAGATATCAACAGCAGAACTTCTGCTTTTGCAGATGTTAACAATGGGATTTGTGGTTTTGCAGCATGTTCTCTGTTTCCTTGTCTCCCTCTCCTTATTCCTCTGGTCCTGCAAGCTAGACAATCATCCCAGCCAAGTAATGCTGGCTTCATGAGGTGCCCAAGGCAGATCACTAGCTCGTGGACAGTTGCACTGAGCCTTCTGTCGCTGTGCCCCAAAACACACAAAGAAAACTTATTGTAGCCAGAGCTGGCTCAGAATGAGTAGAAGATGGTGATGGTGAATTTGTTATTTTTTTTTCTGTCAGGTGGAAAGAGAGCAAGGAACACTTTTACTTCCAGAAGAAGTCTCAATACCTGGAGGGAAACTAGACCCTGAAATGCAAAGGATTCCTCAACAAACAAATAAGGAAGTTGTGGATGGGGTAGGCAAGCAAGGCATTAATCAGAAGAGGAACATAGCAACCAACAAAGCAAGGGTTCCCTGAGGAAGATATGCAGGTAGAGGTCTCCTTTGGTAGGACACTGGTATTCTGCAAAGGCATTTGCTGTCAATTGCCATGACTCCAACTGGGACATCCATCTACTCAATGGCAGAAGGTTATCTTCTGCCTTTCCCATCTCAAAATGTGTATGGGCTTCACATGCTTACACATAATTAATATTTTTCAGTCTTTTTCTTTGTTTCACCGTTAATAAATCCTCTAAAAATGTTACTAATGGTAAGAAGTGTTTGCATAAATACTTCTCCTGAAATAGGCAATTTTCTTAATGTGGAAGACCACTAAGGAAACCAGGCCTTTGAGAGTTGATGGCGGATGGAGAGGGACTTAAGAGAAACAGTAGGCATAATCATCAGTAAGGAAGAAATGCCTTAGGAAGATTCAACTTCCCCACTCTAACATACTTAGAAAAAGAACACAGATCTCAGTTTGCTGCCATCTTTTCCCCTTTATTTTACTGGAAGTGTTAAGACATTAGGCAAACTTCATTTTGATTGGAAACTATAGATCAGTCTCAGCTCTGGCCCCGTGGACTTGTCTCTTTCCTTCAAGTTTCCAGTCATTCAAACCATTTACTTTAGACAGTTGCCGAAGAGGTCATTGGAGTTTTTCTGAAAGAAGGTCTGGCCAACCAGGAATTACTGTTTTATATGTCAGGGCTAAGGTTACACAGGAGAAACTTACTGAGGGGAAAAAAAAAAAAAAAATAATAAAAAAGGGCAAAAATGCTGCACAAGGCTACTTACCCTTCAGGGTCTCTACGAAAGCTGGGACATGCATAACTTCTACCCTCTGCAGTATGTTAAAGGATGACCAGGTGTCCAAAGGCTGAGCAGTGCTCTTTCAGCTGGCAAGCCTCTCAGTCTTGTGTTTTTTGAAGGGCCTACAAGCTAGGGAAGGGGGGGCTCGTTGTCGGGGAGGACAATTTTAGACACCATGCTATGATTCTTAGAAATTCTGTGTATCTGCAACTGCCACTGAAGATTATAAAAAGCTGGGGGACAGAAGTTGTTTTGCAACAAAAAAAAATAATAAAAAAAAAAATATATATATATATATTCTGGATTTTCTTGAGATGAATCCCTCTGCACGAGGTAGCAGGAGACAGGATTTCATGGCCTAAGTCACACTGGAACTGTGAGGCAGGCAGTCACCATACATCATCACAAACCAGCCAGAATTCATGTGACTAAAGCCAAAAGCATTATTTGTGTGGAGAGGAACTAAATGGAGACAAAAACATATGTATATCCAGATATATCCAAGAACCCTGGAAAGAGACCACTGTATCCTCTTTTTATAACTCTCACTTATGGTGTAGTCATAAATTAAAAGATAGAATGATGAACTGAGTATGGAAGTACATAAATAATACCTAGTAGCAGTAAAATTCACAGAGACATCCATTGGTAAGATTGTTTAATAGAATAAAGAATATAGAATAGCTCTGATAGTTGCCTAGTCCAACATTCCACTCAAAAGTGGTTGCAACATCAGGGGGAATTTAACTTATGTCCAGTTTCTCAGGCTTTTCTCTCTCAAGTTTGGTATACTTCCAAGGATGTAGATTCGCAGGATCTATGGGCAACAGTGTTTCACTGCCCTTATTATGATTTTTCTTTTTTAATGATACGGATCCCAGTGAAAATTACAAGGAAATGTGTTCTGCAAATTTTAGGTAATCTCTTGAGGAATTCTTTAAAATTACTATAATGAAAATCAAGAAAATGTAACTTGATAGTTTCATGAATCTTAGTAAAAGCAGAATTTGAGCATATAAATTCTACAGAATGCTTTGAATACACTTGT